ATAGAAAGATAAACAGGGCAGAGAGACGAGCTTGTGAAGGGAGACCCCCTTTGCTTTAAAATCCTCCCCCTTAGGGAAAATTCAGACTGGGGACAAATAGATCTCCAACATCCCAGGTGACAGGGAGACACCGGGTATGGTCTAACAGTGGCCAGTAGGGGGCGCAGGAGGGCGAGGCTGCTATCCGGGGTTTGTGTGAGCGCATGTTAATGCAGTGCTGCACACATCGCACCATGCGGCTCCAGAGGGCCAGGCCAGGCCAGGCAAAAGCCAGCACTGTTATTTAGAGGCCAAGAAAGGCTTTGAAATGCAAATGCAGGCAGGGCCGCGCACGAGTATCTTGGGGACGACGGCAGCCAGGGGCTGGGTTACCGCGGCTTTCGAGGGTTGGCCAATTACGGCCACCCCTGACATTGGGATATTACCATCACCGGCATCTCGCGGGTCCTGTGATGGACTGGCATCCTGCCCAGGCTGTTTCTCCCGCCTCGTCCCCCGTGGTTCCTGGGAGAGGCTCCAGCTTCCCCACAACCCTGCACCATATAGGAGGTTATAAAAAAACGGACGGATATTTATATATATTTATATGAGCATGTAGCAGAGTCGCGTCTCTCGCCAGCCTCAATGCTCCAGATAATAAGCATTTAAGATTGATGGGGGTTAAAAATCGTAAGTGACATTCCCGTAAAAAACTAAAATCTTGAGGTTAATCAGCCCATCCTAAAGTCCTTCGTCCGGTTCTGTGGTCAAAACATGGTTTCCCTGCTTCCGCTGCGTACATGAATCGTAGCCGCAGAATGCTGGGGGGTGCCCCTGGAGAGACAGCCGGGGGCAGGATTACAAGCTGGGGCTCACTGGGAACGGCCATGGTCCACATTACAGGGGACTCGCCCAAAAGGCTTACTTTCGATTATGGGAGAGCGTACAACAGATGCTGGTCTGTTTCATAAGAACATAAGAACTATACAAACGAGAGGAGGCCATTCTGCCCATCGAGCTCGCTTGGGGAGAACTTAACTAATAGCTCAGAGGTGTTAAAATCTTATCTAGCTCTGATTTAAAGGAACCCAAGGATTCAGCTTGCACTACGTTATCAGGAAGACTATTCCATACTCTGACTACACGCTGTGTAAAGAAGTGCTTCCTTAAATCCAGTTTGAAATGTTCTCCCGCTAATTTCCACCAATGGCTGACGAGTTCTTGTATTTGAACTAATGCTGAAGTAACTATTCGGTTGAACAGCATCCAAACCTGTTAGAATCTTATAGACCTGGATCATGTCCCCCCTCAGTCTCCTTTGCTTGGGGCTGAACAGATTTAGCTCAACTAACCTTTCCTCGTATGACATTATTTCGATAACAGCCAAAAAATATATGAGAATAAAAGAACAAAAACCAGTCAGGCCAGAGGAAGCTGACATAACCAATGAGTGACGAGCGGCACAGCATACTGGGGGGCGGTGAAAGCGAGTTTACATCCCCAGGCTCTCACATCTATATCCACCCAGTGGAGCCGGTTTGGCAAAATACACACATTCACGGCGATCGAGCCTAATAATTAGCCCAACCAATGGAAGCTGGTAAAACTGGATTCATCCGTATTGTGTGACTGTTCAATTGTGAGGTGATTTAAAGACAAACTACCAAGCTTTGTGGAGAGTGTTAGTAAAAGCTGGAAAAGTCTGATACCAGGTAGCAGGATTACACCGTGAATCCTGTGCTGAGCTGTACATACAGATCAACAGTTAAAACCCATGTGTTTTGGCTGAATGACTAAAACATACACTGAAGAAAACCGACACTAATAAACCGGTAGAGAGCATAAAACAATGTGTGTGACACTAGCATTGGGTTTAATAAATGTTAAGGCAGTTATGTTACGGCACCTGTAACCATGGCAACATGACGGCAAATGTGACAGAGCAGTAAAACTGAAAGTGCGTAGCCTCAAGGCTGATTTATACTTCTGCGTTGAGCCTACGCAGAGGGTACGCTGCAGCCTCGGCAAGGACTGCATCCCCGTAACGTGTAGTTACATCTCCATGGAGGTGCACCTCGGACTACGGCTTAGGTAAATTCTATGCAGAGGTGTAGACCAGCCTTCACACGATGCTGTGCGGTGTGGAACAGGCATCCCAGCCAGCAAGGACAGGACAGAAGGACAGACATATTGTGGGAGCACCTTTGGAGACGGCAGCTGCTGTTTCTGCAAGGTGAGGCACATGTCCGTTCCAGCTGCAGAGCCTGAATGTAGGAGATTCTGTCTGGGGTACATCGCCCCCCCGTTCACAGATAATGTGTGACCATTAAGGCTATAATCACAGTCTTCCGAGGCTCGCTGAACCCAACACTATAATCTTTCCCATAACACACCAACATTTTCTTCCAGTTCCTACTGTACAGTAAAACCAGGCTCAGACGAAATTGATTGATTCAGAAAATCAGAATCACCTGCGAAATAACTCATTTAATAAACCATCCATTTATTACTCACAAATAGCAATGCAGTGAAGCTAAAGCAATGCAGTGAAGCTTTTGGAAACTGTAATGTAACATGTACTTCAGCCCAATGAGAGCCAATAATGTCACCCATGAAAGGTGAGCTGAACTGGGCCTGTGACTGACACATCCCATCCCTTGATATATGATGATAATTTTCCCTGCCCACATCTGTATACAGGCCATTGCAAGTGTTAAATACAACCCATTTCCAAATGAGTTGGGATGCTGTGCAAAATGTAAATAAAGACAGAATGCAATACTTTGCAAATCATATAAAACCATATTTAATTGAAAATTAAACATTTGAACAAAGACAACCTATCAAAGGCTGAGACTGAGAAATGTTTTTGTTTTATCACAAATATATATTTGAATTTGATGCCAGCAACACATTTAAACAAAAGTTGGGAGAGGGGCAACAAAAGACTGGAAAAGTTGTGTGATGCTAAAACAAAACACCTGGATGAATATCTCACAATTAATTAGGTAGCTTGCACGTCTGTCAACAATGACAACTAATCACTGAATAAAATTTTAAAAGAAAATAAATAAATAAATAAATTTACAGAGAAGGCCTTGGATATTTCAACAAGAAAATGTCTAATCACATTGTGCACATAGTACAACAGCATGGCTCCCTAGTAGAAGAGTCTGGGTGCTTGACTGGCCTGTCTGCAGTCCAGACCTGTCACCGGCTGAAAACATTTGGCGCATCATGAAACGAAAAATACGACAAAGGAGACCCTGGACTGCTGAACAGTTGAAATCCTATATCAGGCAAGAGTGGGACAACATTTCACTTTCAAAATTACAACAAATGGTCTCCTCGGCTCCCAAATGTTTACAGAGTCCTGTTAAAAGAAGAGGTGATGCAACAAAGTGGTAAATATGCCCCCGTCCAAACTTTTTTGAAATGTGTTTCTGGCATCAAATTCAAATTGAGCATATATTTGTCATAAAAATTTAAATTTCTTAGTTTCAATATCTGATATGTTGCCTTTGGAAATTGGGTTGTATTACACATTTTACTCATTATGCAAAACATTTTCTCATTGTTTAATTATTGTGTTAAAAAGGCCAATCCTGAACCGCACCAATCCTTGACCTTTTGTTCCTGACAGTCCAATATGGCTGACATGAGGCACTGGCTGGTCCTGTCCTCCCTCCCCAGCGGGGACAGCTGGCCTGGCGTTTCTCACGCCCCCATGCCAGGAGGCCCTCCCCTGCATACCAGCCCTGCCACTGCCCCCCACCCACCCCCCACCCCCAGTGGCATGATCCGGCCGTATCAAACACCTCCGCCGTCGCATTCAAAGCCTGCCAGCATCCTGCCCCCCCACTCCCCCCCCTTCCTGGACCATGAAAGAGTGCCTGCAATGTCACCAAATCTCCTGTAAAGGGCAGCTTGGCTCAGGCAGTGCATTTGTGCACTGTGAAAGGGTCAGAGCCACTGGGTTTGGGGGGGGATAGACAGAGATGGAGGGTGAGGGGGGAGAGAAAGAGAGAGACAGAAGGAGAGAGGGAAAGAAGGATACAGAAATAAATAGAGGAGAGAGAGGGATAAAGTGAGGGGAGAAAGAGAGAAAGGGAGGGGGAGGAAGAGAAGGAGAGAGAGAAGTAAAGAGAGAGAGAGAAAGAGGGGGGCCTTGGGTTCCTGGCCCCTTAGCTGCATTGCTGGCTGCGCAGGGGTCCGTTTACACTGTGCCGGGGCGCTTTTTGTGCGCTGCAGCACGGTGCCAGGCACCCTGACGAGGATGGGCACACAATCGGGCCAGCAGAGCAAGGACAGGGCTATTCATGCAGATCGAGTTGCATGTATGACCGCACATTGCTGCCGGCCATTGCGTCGCTGGTGTGCGAATGCAGCGCACGCACACTCTCACAGACACACACTCATGGCAGCGCTCCTGGATGTTAATTATTAATCATTTCATTCCGTTATATTAGTGCTCTTGTATCACACCTGGACTTTTCTGAAGGTGTGCTCTTTGTTCAGTATGTATGCCATGCATTTGTTTTGCCTAGAACTTCGATCTATACACTCATACTCCTGCAGTCCTGATATCTATAGGAACTAAGCACTGTATCCCAGCTCTTCCCTTCTGTATTTTTATGTAACTAGTGTAGCAGGGCTGCCAACTTTGGTCAGCTGGCTAGAGTGAAATTTTCACTTGAGATAAGTCTGCACACACATTTACATGTATGTAAGAGTTTTATTACCTTGTAAATAGTCTGTAATGTTTGCAAACTACCCCAAAGCTTTTAATGTGTCATGCCAGATGTGTGACAATTGGCAATCCCGCCTCAGTCGTATTCTAGTACTTTCATTCCTTTACACACATGCATGTTCTGCGGATGCATCTGCGGACACCACTACTCACTGCAGCAGAGCTACCCTAACCACACTCACACAGAGACAATAAAAACCCTGGAGACTAGGAGGTGCAGCGATGCTCCTCGACTCCCAGAGCGCTGGTGGGGCACTCCCCCGCGACTCACCTTCTCCAGCAGAGGGAGGCACTGGGGCACCTGGTGCTCGGGGTTCTCCAGTTTGACGATGCTGATGAAGATGCTCTCTTGGCGTTCATCCTCGCTGGTGTTGCATAGGGACAGCGGGTGGGACTGCAGGCACGGGGAAGAGGAGGCACGGTCAGCGGCCGGTGATAATTACCACCACCTTGAGAGGGACATCCAGAGGTGCTGTTGTTTATGTTATAATTCATTGATTTACCCACCAAAAATTAAAATCACTTCATCTAAGCTTTATCTACAACACTAGACTTTTAAGGATCTCAGTTCATAGATTTAAAAGACCTTTTGACCCCCCCAAGCTCAGCGTCACCACACATGAAACGAGACATTTGCCTTTCGCTGATCCCCTATGCAGTTGACAGCAGTCACTCCCCATGACTTCCTGTACACGTGGCCTCAGATTTGAATGAAAGGCTCCATATCAATAGCAACAAAGCAAAGGGGAAAACCCATAACTCATGATTCATAAAAATATTACCGGTTTAAGAAAAGAAAAACAAAATGAGCAACACGATGAAGCCACAGATTGTAAAGTTGGAGGCCACGTTCACACGTGAACAATTTATACAACTTTATTGGGGAGTTCGCAGAGAGCAGCCAGAAATAGCTGGGATGGCCAGTGGCCTGCCTGTCACCGAGCAGGGTCACCCACTCCCAGGTCCTCTTTGGGTGCCTCATAAACGCCGCCAGATGTGCATCAGTTAGCTCAGGAAGGCCTCGGGGGTTGGAGTGGAATGAGCTATCGATCAATTGCAATTTCCAGCGTGGAGCATTTTGAGCACAGTGTACACATCCAGCCTAAGGAGGGTGCTGCAGAGCTGGGGGGGGGGGTGTTATGGAATTTCATGTGGGCACGCTGATGTAACGAGACTCCCCCCATTTGGACTGGAAATCCTGAAATGGAGAACTGGATGCCTCTGTACATAGCCGGAGCTGCGGACCGCTCCAACTGTGACGTCACATGATCATGGGAGCATCCCCATCGCAAGCTCGGGCCCTCAAGGGCCTAGAGGGGTGCATGGAGGCGGGGAGTCCGAGCCACACTGCTAGAGCCCTCGGGGTCACAACCAGACAACATCACTCCATTTATGTTCGCATTACATTCAGCACCTTTGCTGGATGAGAGGCTGAATGACGCACAGATGACAGAGATGCAAAGATCTCAAATCCATCCGTCGGCCATAAAAAAAAAAGCCTTTCATTCACAGTACTCCGCACTCCTTACTGAGCTGCGGGACGTACGCTGTATATTGGCCACCGCTGGTGACAAAATGTCACCGAGGGCCAACGTCACGCCGTGCCAAGACGTTCGGAAGGGGAAGGTTGGGCAGCCGCGACTCTCTGAGCGACAGGCGGAGCAGATTCCCACTGCTCCCAGGGAGGGCGAGGAGAGGGGCTGGCAGCCTGGAGAGGGGCTGGCGGCCTGGAGATGGGCCTTTGTGGGTCGCCAAACTGTTTCCCAGGACTTTCTATACTGGGACGGCACAAATGAGAGAGCGCTCCCCTTCCTGCGGCATGCTTCCCGCTCCCCCCCGTGCAACCACAGCCCCGCCACGGAGCAGGCAGGACCGTCCTGCACGCAAGCCGTCCCAGCTGTGCCACTAGCCCGCCTTTGCAGGGGCCAAATTACAGGCCTGCAGCAGAACTTGGCTTTTCACAAAACAAGGAAAGAAAAAAAAATAATAATAACACAGCGTGAACGCCTGGACGTAGCACCCGGGACACCCAGAGCCAGAAAGCGGGGTTCAGCTCACAATAAAGGCATGGGGAGATGGTGACGTGAAGGTCGGCACACGGGACCGCTGGGGACGGCCGTGATGGTCGTCACACAATGAAGAGAAGCCTTTGTTCCATACCACCATAAACACAACTGTATTCAATGTATATGCATTTTGTCAGAAGACTCAGAAAAAATGCTGCCATGCCCTCCTGAAGGAGCACGGGCTTCAGGAAAGCATTGCTGGCTCCCTTTTGTACCGTCCACCTCCCCACGCAGAAAAAGTCTCCTTCTATAGGATCATAAACGGCGTAAACCAGCCCCCGTATATATATATTTTTGTTGTCCAGCCAAACAGCAGCGTGATGAGTCCCATAGCCTGACTGAACATTCTTGGCTGCTTTGGACAGGAGCTAAGAACAAGGTCTGGGATTTCAGATGGGAGTCGCGCCTTTGTGGGGAGAAGGAACCACGTCACTAACAAACAGACCCGTGGTGCCCAATGGTCACTCCTAAAGCTGCACCTCCGAAAACACAGAGCTCTTTCAGATTCTTTTTACCCAGGATAAAAGGCATTCTTATAATGTTCAGTCACTATCTGACCAAAATACTCCAAGGCAAATGTCTAACAGTTAAAACAGACTCCAAAACGAGAACACAGACTGTATCCATGGTGAGAAGTCTCTTCCCCCCCCCCTGCCCTGTGGGTCTTCCTTTTTCATCTGCCAATTTCATTTTCTTGTCTGCTCTTGCGCTAACAGAGAGCGTAAGCTAGATGGTTGTGTCGGGTCTTTTCCTCAACTTCAGAAGATGAAAGTTAATCAATGTTTGATGTGTTTTAACTGGCCATCTTTTATTTAGAAAAGAAAAAGAATAAAGTAGCGAGAAGTTGGGGGGGTACCCAATGGGGGTTTTCTGCAATGGACACAGGCAGCTTGAAGTCCACGTTCCGCCAAGCTAGTGAATGTGAAGGAAGAATTCTATTAACCAATGCCCCCCCCAAACATTTGGCCGCTCACCCAGTTGTGTCCTGACCCAGTTTCCCGCGTGGCCCTGGACATTACTCTTCTGAGCTCTGCAGCTGGGACCCTCAATCAGTGCTCAACAGCTCCAAATCCAAACTAAGCGCTGAGCCAAATTCCCCATCGCAGAGCACCTGTGGCGCAGTGTAAACTGAGCGAGCAGCAGCTGGCCGTGACCCGGAGCCCAAGCACGGAGGTGGAGCCGGACCTCGGCTGGAGGCTGGGAGACAGGAACGCAGCTCTCTGAAGTGGGGAGCTTGGAAAATGAGGAATTTGGCTGATCCAGGCTGTCTTGATGGTTGCCTTGGCAATTCTGTGGATGGCCCTTTGTTCTTTTTCAGCTTTGGACCTTCTAACCAGCCCAGCTCCTTGGCCCCAAGCTGGGGTTGGGGGTTGTAGTCAAAGCCTCAGAGATCACACTTTGCTGGTATTTCAGCAGTGGCGCTGAGACAACCCTAGGGAGCCCGGCCTGGATTTGCTCTGGGTTGGCTCCCATGGACCCAAAGTCAAGCTCTGCTTGAGACGCCAAAGCTGCCGTCACGTACCCCAGTATTTCCTTCTGTCCCAGTTCAAGGGGACCGTTGACTGTTTATGTCTGCAATAAATGACAGCGAGACCTTCATAAGGACGGAACGAGCAGAGTGAAAGGATGGAAGGTGCTGGTACGCCACGCTGTCTGGTGCTGGTACGCCACGCTGTCTGGTGCTGGTACGCTTCCCCAGAACAGGCAGTACCTGCTGCCCCATCATACAAACGAGGCCATGTACATCCACTCTCCCTCTGCTCTGACTTTGCTGTGACCTGTTTTAAGCGCTGCTAACTGTATATACCATTTAATTCCCAGCCTGGTATACTAAAGATGTCCGGAAGGCGGTTCGGAAGAGTGCTGCATGTGTTGCAGTCTGCAGTCCAGATTCCAGCCTGACGAGTCAAGCTGGCACAAAACTGCAAGGCGACTCTTTGAGCGAAGACTATTCCCAAGCTCCCCCCCCCCATTACTCACACCCTCCCCACTTAGAGTAAAGCCAAAGCCAAGAGGCCCCGAAGATGCACAAGGGTTTTGCGGAAACTCTACACTAACTGGGGGCCACAAGTACTTGGGCAACCCTGTTGTGGGGGGGAATCCCATTGCAAATGTCACAAGTGGGCTCTGCCAACAGCTGCCCCGGGCCCCCTGTACTCTAACAACAGGGACCACCCGACTCTGGGGAACATCTGGGGAAGGCTGTTTGCTGGAGCTCTTGAAGGATGCAGAACAATGTGAGGGAACCAGCGCTCCAATTGTGTCAAAACAGAGGCGTGTCGAGTTTCCCTCTCTTTAATGACGGCGACGGCCTAAGCCTAGTCACGGATACCGCAGCGAACAACTTGGCAAAACCCGATATCATAATGACCTCAAAATAATCACCACATGCCTTAGAAAATACCTCGGTATGTCGCTACTCTCGTTTTTTTTTCTCTTTCACTTCCAAAAACATTTCTCTTGTATTTGTATCATTGCTGTTGCCTAGGAGATGTAAACCGTGTCAACCAGCCTTGCTTGAAGTGACGCCGACTGCATATGAAGGACAGAGTAGTGTGCTGATGGGAGGCAGCTCAGGCACCCTCGTGCTTCCTCACGGGAAAACCTCGAGCAGACATCAGCAGCTAAATGATGCTGTTATTTTACTGGATGATGTGCTGAGTGATACTGTCCTTTAATGAATGCATGTAAGGCTCCAAAAAATATCAAAGAACACCATCAAGATGCCAAGAGAACAGTGAGCAAGAAAACATCCAAGTCAATCAGCAACAAGGGGCACAGTTTTTTTTTTTTTTTTATTAATACAATGTTGCAGCTTCATTTTATAAGGTGAACGTGGGCAGCCAGAACCCTGCCATCGCCTCAGTAAGGCTGAGACTGCAGCACTTCCCACAGCAGCCAGCAGGGTGTGCAGTTTCCCAAAAAGCACAGGCATCTCAAGCTTAACGGTGTGGTGACTGAATTGTTGGCACCACTGTCACAGGAGAAAAATCAGGACAAAAAAAAATTCAACATAAGGGGGAAAAGTGCTGGAAGTCCATGTCCCTCTTATGCTGTCGCCACTGTTGCCATGACAACCCATAAATGGACTCAAATATACTGTTCCAATTTTTTTTTTTGGTAGAATACAGGTACCTCAGGAAAATTTAACCATAAGTACAGGAGTAAGAGAGGCTCGAAGAGTGAAAGGTGGGGGTGTACCTGCCTCTCTGAAACGGGGGATGCACGACATCATCTGAAGTGTCCCATCGCAGAAAATGAACTAAAGAAATAAACAAAAGTGCCACTGATCTCCAAGTTGTTTACAGTGCCGACTTTTATCATGGCG